GCAACGTTTCGTAGATTGCCGATCGCGAGGCATTGCTGAGTTTCATTGGGGGCCGCTGCGTGCTGGTGGGGGATGATGAGCTCGGGGATGGCATGGTACGCACGGCAATGAAGTTAGCTTGGTAGTATGTATTGATCACAAGAGTTGAAATACAAATTTGACTCCTGAGCGGGTCGTTATGGTTCTTGCACGATGAGACAACATTTTTCCACAGCCATAACTTGCGAGCAAAATCGACTTGGAACACGCAGAATACAGCCAATCAAAGACGAGACCTTGCGCTTTTAAACTAGCCAATGATATAACATTAAACCGTAAAATTAGAAAAATGCCACGAATGAGTAGTCAAATCGGACTCTTTTAGTGGACCAGAGTAGTACGTATTCCGGATTTGATCTTTGAATGGCTTGTTAATAGCGACATCCAACGGCTGCAAAACGCAAGTAAATCCGCCTAGAAAGGTTTTGAAAAGTTAGAAAATTTCCTACACAAACATACACGATAAACATTCACGAAAATACTAGTACACCTCAATGTGTATCAAATATCTCAAATAATCACAAACAAATATACAAAAAAATATATATAGAGTACAAAAATATATATCAAATACCTGGAATAATTTCCATCGCTGTGCCGATGTTAGACAACAATAGCCCAATCCGAGCGGTCTTATGACAAGCAAAGTCATCCCACAACAACAGACTGGATGATTCGTTGGCGACGTGGGGCTTCCAAACGCTATTGAACCACTTTTCAGTGAGGTCCGAGTCCATGAAGGCCTTCTCTTGACACGTCGCGAACAAGCCAGCTGGCACGATAGCTTCAAGACTCGAGTCAATACGGGCACCCGGGACTCCCTTGAATACCACAAATGGTGGTAGCTTGGTACCATCCGACGCGATTGCAAGGCACACAGTAACACGGGGATTGGACGACGTACACTTGCGTGCAGACACCGTTCTTGAACCCTTTGCTGCGATCGTTGTCTTGACCTCTGGCTCCAGAGGGAGAGGTGTCTCGTCCATGTTTACAAAACATCGCCCTGATACGTTCGCCAACGTTCCAAACGGCGCGAAGCGTGCCGCCAAGGTCGTTCCAAAATCTTCCATAATCGCCGTCAAATGACCTGATCGCTTTTGAGCCCGGCGGGTTGGACGGCGAATGACCAAGTTGTGTCGGGAACATGTAAACCCACTTCTTCAACGCGTTTGGTTGTCCGCCATGAAAGTCCAAATCCACACTGAAGGCGTAAATGATGAGCATGTTCGTACTGATGGCGATGTCGTCTTGCTGAAGAGTGTTGAAGTACTCAAGTACTTCGGCCTCGACGTCTGGGTTGGTCACTGGGCGGCCAGCATTGACGGTCAATACAGACGGATTGAACACTGCCCTGGCGTTGATTTGGTCCTTGGCCTTGACCCACCGAGACACTTGGCCAGTTTGGACGCCGAACTCCTTCCCAATGCAATAGAAGGTCTTCCGAGCACCCGTTGTAGCTTCGTAAGCTTGTATCACTTTTACTTTAAACCTCAATGAATTGGATTTGCGTTGTCCAGACGTGGATCGACTTCGTCGTGACTCAGAAGTCATTTGGCTTGTGTTCGTCAATCATGCTCATTGTATGCGCGGTTAAACATTTTGCCCAATCAAAACGATGCAATTGAGCGGAAACTAAAGTGGTACGTTTAACTGTAAAGTGTTCCCGTAAAGTTGTAACTATTTCTAAAACATTTGCATGGTTACAGATGTGCGGGAAATACGGTAGATGTGCTACCAAAACCGACACAAGACACAATAACAATAAAGTATTACAGGGTAAAAAGAAAAGTAAGAAAGGACATGATTGGGTGAATTATTGGTGGCGCGTGGACAGTTCAGAAGAAATGCGTCTTGGTGTAGCTGGAGTCCTCTGGTGCCGCCGCCACCGACTACATAGGGTGCTGGTAGCTCATCGCCTCCGAGCATCTCTCAGAGAGCGGAACAAGATTAATGCTCGGTCACTACTCCAAGAACAAGTAGATTGTCCCTGGTACATTATGTATGCAACACATGGCCCAGCCTCTTTCATCCCTACCGTATCGTTGCCACCGGATGCATTTGATAGTCTGCTCGCCTTGTTTTCCGGTGAGTACGAACAACCCAGTAGACGTGGCAAAGGTGGTAGACCTCCGCGTGTTGTCCATGCGCATGCTGATCTGGCGTTGGTGCTGCACTTGTACACAGGCGCTGTCGAGCAGAAGTCACTACAAGAGCTGTTTGCGCTGACACCAAGCACGTGCGCCCGTATTCTGCGGAAAGGAGAAGAAGCCTTGGTCCGTGCCCTGGCAGCTTGCCCAGATGCTGTGATCAAGTGGCCGTCGAAGGCCACGCAGGCAAGATGGGCGGCTATGAGCAACTTGCGGAGCCGCTTGTCCACGGGGTGCTTTCATTCGTCGATGGAAAGAACTTACGTGTGCAGGAACCATCGTCAACTGATCTGCAGAACGCAATGTACAACGGTAGCTGATGCTGTGTGCTTCTATATCTAACGATGGTCTAGGATGGTTACACAGCGTGTTCGACACTGGTGTCCTCTGCTTAGGGCTCGACGGCACATTGGTGTGGGGGAGACACAACTTCCCCGGCTCATGGAACGATGGTGAAATGAGCCGGAGGTTGCAAAAGATCCTCGCAGACCCGACGAAGACCGGTGTTGGTATGAAGGTTGCGTCCGACTCTGCATTTCCGGTCAGTGGCAGGTGTGCTGGCCGTATTGTGACCCCGCTGAAGAAATGGGACCTCGAACGGCATCCTCCAGCGTGCCGACTTGGCCTGAAAGTGATGAGTGACTGCATTACGTTGTTGCGCCAAGCTGCGGTATGGGGCATGGGTGCTGTCAGCAAAGTGTACCGTCAACTGCTCCTGTCCCTGCCATATAACCCATCACTCCGTACTATGCGACTTGAGAGTATGTTTAAGTTGTACAATTTCCAGATAAAAAATGTCTTTGGATTGTAAAATAGTACTTTTAACTCCTAAAAAAAGTCCTAAACAGGCCTAATTGAACACCTTCAAGGCAAGTACCTTGTACATTTTTATTGCAAAATAGGCGATTCCCGCTGCGATTTTTTTCTTTGGAACAATTAATCCGAAATTAAATTTCATTCAGGATTACGATTCCGATATTACCTAAATAAATCCTAGAACCAACTAAACATAGGTCGACATGGTACTAACACTGTAAATAGAGATCATATAGGAGGAATATTCTAAAAAAATATGCAAATGAAGTGCTGGTCAAAACACAAAAACAGCAACTCGAAATATTTTTGAGTTACTTGTGCTTGCTATCAAAGAGCTTGGCCATCAACATCATGTGCAACTCGTCGCGGCGGTCATGGCGGACGCGCTCCTCGGCACGCCATTCCATTTCTCTCATGTGACGTTGTTCTTCTCGCTCAGTCGAACGCGCTTCCATGATCATCATCATAGACATGAAATCTGACGACGCCTTAGCGTTAGCCTCCGCAGCTCCAGCAATGAACTTGTCCAACGACTGGCGCTTTCTCGCGATATTAGAAAGCATGCCACTACTCTCAGTCGCGCGCTGCCGTTTCAAATCCTTTCCAAGCTCGATGAGCACGTTCCTGGGCAATCCCGTTCGATTCGGCTTGTCGTCTATGACAAATATCAATCAATCACGTATATTAGCACTCGTACTTAGCTGATCATCCTCGTGTAGGGAGACTTCACACTCAGCGACGTCGAAAGGTCCATCCACGGTGTCATCGACGTCTTCATCAACGTCCTCGTCCTCCATCGAGCACACACCAACGTTTTTGTCGATATCGCGACTGAATCGCTTCGCCCGGCGTACGTCGGGGGGGCACTCG